ACCACTGAACTTTTAGTCATCAACCAAGTGCTTAACCATGTCACCACCAGGGCTCAGTTAGGCACTTTAAACTCTTCTAGTCTTGGTCCATTATCCAATTACAATAAGGCTTCCACATTTCTAGCTATCTATTAGAGCAACGTCCAATCATTGTACCAAATGTCTTAGTTATCAAGTACTGCTATACCAGAAATACCATAAGGTGGTGACTTTAATAAACACATGCATTTTCTCAAAATTTAAGAGGCTAAACATCTGAATTCAGGGGGCCAGCTCTACAGAAAGGCTTTGGTGTTGGCTCTGGACGAAGGTGTTACCCCTTGTCTACTTGGAGAGCCTCACGTGACAGGCATCTACCCTCTCCCCTTGCTGCTGCCTTAATGGCTCCTGCCTGTGTAAGAGCTTGACTCGAAACACATCCTACACCACATCTCTCATTCACACGCAAAACAGTCCATTCACAAATTGGATTATAACCATGTGCATACATGTTAGGTGTTAAACAGATATCAGTTTTAGGGGACACAATACAACTTAAACAGAGTAATGCTATCTATCTTCATCAAAATATCTGATATTACAACATAATATGCCAAATAATTATATTTCCTCTAGCATCTCTTGTTTCATCGCTTGCTGTCTACACAAATAGCTCTGAATTATCTTTTTTTAAAATTGTTGCACCGGCCCTCTCTTGTAGCGTTGTAGCTACCCCCATCTAAGGAGAATGTCTATCATTCTGAGTTTCTCTGACAGTGTGTGCTCCGGAGTCCCCATGGTTCTGTGTGTTACCTTATTAGGCTGCTAACCACAAAGTGGTGGTTTAAACCAAGAGCAGGCTCGGCAAGAGAAAAATAAAGCTGTCTGCTCTTATAAATATTTACCGTTTCTGAAGCCTATGTAGGATTGTTATAAGTCTAAATAGACTCAATATGTTTTGTTTTGTTTTGTTTTTGCTTTAAGGAGGCATCTCTTCCCTAGTCATGTTTTGATGTCCTCCAGTCTGAGGGCCATGTCTCTCAGCACTATCTCAGAGAGTATTGCAAACCTATTCATATGGTTTTCACTCTCCAAGATTTTTACAATGACGTTGCAAGGTCCGGCCTAGTCTATTTAGTAGGAATCTCCACTGAAACCTGGGAGCCAGAGTGAGTGTACTGGTATGTGAAGCACCAGTGCCATTGCTTCCAACATCATAGCAGCATGTAAACCACCACAATACAACGAACTGACACACTCAAAAGTAGACGAAGTAAATGAAGTCATCTATTAATAGTTGGCTCATAAAATGTACAGAGTACAAATCTAGAAAATTGATATTGGTAGAAAATTAAATGTAATTTTATTTTACACTTATTGATCTTTTCCTAGGCATTAATGAACTGAAATATGCTGGCATTCGACTATGTGTTAGTCTGGGTAGACTAGAGAAACAAATCCATGGACACACATGTGTGTAAGAAAGAGCTATTGAACATTGAGAAAATATCCCATCCCAGTCCAGATCAAGTCCATACGTCTGATATTAGCCCATATGCCTGATACCAATCTATAAAGTCCTCTTCAGACTCATGAAGCACATGCAATGATGCCGGATGTAGAAGATCACAGGCCAGAGGGTAGAAAGTCTTTGGATCTAGTGTATTGGAAACATCTCAGCGCTTGCAGGGGTCTCTGCATCATGGTGGGTCCATGTGTCTTGTCAGCTGCTATGTCTCCCAGGGTGTGTCAGAGAGAGAGGTGTCTCCCGCCTCCAAGGAGGAAGTACTGGATTTCCCAGAATTCTCAGGAAAAGGACATGCCCACACAGAGGCCTCATAGACTATGATCTGATTGGCAAGCTAGAGTCCACCCCTACACTCTTAATCCTCAAATTGACAAAGGATTATAGCTACCACAGGCTATTTTGAATCACAGCCAAATGATCTACTACACCAGGAGTGTAAAAATTGAATATGAATTGTGCTATATCTGTTGTTATGAAGAACATTTCAAGACGTACACTGAAATGCTTTCAATGAGAGGATGATAGCTACACACCTACAAGGAAGACCAGTTAATATGACTATTATTCATGTTTATGGACCATTCTAAAGATGAAGAAATTGAAGATTTTTACAAAATTCTGCAGTCTGAAATTGATCAAATATTCAATAAAGATGAATTAATAATTATGGATGATTGCCATGCAAATGTTAAGGGGAAAAGCTCAGCAGTTGGAAAGTGTGGCCTTGGTGATAGAAAGGATGCTGGGAATTTGATAATGGAATTTTGTAACCCTGACAATTTATCAAATTCAGCTACCTTTTTTCAACAACATAAACGCTGACTCTACAAGGGGACCTTGATAGATTGCACAGAAATAAAATCATCTGCATTTTAAAAACACAGGCTGACAAAGCTCACTCTCATTTGTCAGAACCAACCAGTGGCTGACTGTGGAACAGACCGTCGATTAGTCTGAGGAAAGTTCAAATTAAAGCTGAAGAAAATGAAAACAGGCTCAAGCGAGCCCAAGTGCAATGCTGGATTATCCCACCTGAATTTAGAGATTGTCTCAAGGGTAGCGTTGATGCATTCATGTGACCAAAGATCAGGAGAATTGTGCCATTAAGACATCTATGTGAAGACAGGTCAGATGGAATGAATAGATCATAGTCCATGGCAGAAGAGTCTCTCAAACTTACATGTATAGTAAGCAGCTAAAGAAAGAAGAAATGATAAATTAAAAGAGCTGAACAGAAAGCTTCAAAGGCAACTTGGGAAGACAAAGTATAGTATTATTTAAAAGTTCTATAAGCCAAATGTTGTTATAGTTATAGCCAAATGAGTTATAGGAAGCTTCAAAATAATATGGAAGGAATATATACAGAGTCACTGTACTAATAACAATTGATCACCATTCAACCATTTTAGGAGGTATCATACAATTTAAAAAATTGTAGCGAATGAAGAAATCCAATGATACTGAAGATAATGACAAGAAACAAGGCCCCAAGAAGACAGAATGCAAATTGAGATGTTTAAGCAAGCAGATGCAATGTTGGAACTGCTCAAGCCATTTGAAAAATCAGCCCAGACAACCAACTAGAAGACATGCATATTTGTTCCCTTTCAAAAACAGAAGGTGATCCAGGAGAATGCAGATACTGTCCAACAATATCACATGCAAGGTAAGTTTTTCTGAAGATTAAAAAAAAAGAAAAAGAAAAAGATTACATCTACACACCAAGAGTAAGCTGCCAAAAATTCAATCAGGATTCAGAAGAGAAGGTAGCACAAGGGGTATCATGGCTGACACCAGGTGGAGCCTGACTGAAAGAAGAGAGCACAAGGAATATGTTCATTTCTGTCTATTGACTCTGCAAAGGCATATCCAACTGCGTGGATCATTAAACAAAACTATGGATAAGATTGAGAGGAATGGGAATTTCAGATCACTTCATTGTGATCCTGAGGAACCTATACCTGGAACAAGAGGCAGCCATCGTAACAGAACAAAGTAAAGGAAAAGTGTGTGGCAGGACTATATTCTCTAACCTGACCTATGCATCCTTTATGCTGAGTCCGTGATCTGAGAAGCTGCCCTATGTGAAGAAGGCTGTGGCAGCAGAATTGGAAGATGGTTTGGTAACAACTTATGATATTCAGATAACACAACTTTGCTTGCTGGAAGGACAGGTAACGTGAAGCACTTATTGCTGAATATTAAGGAAATGCTACGGCCTCCAATATGGAGTACACTTCATCAAGAAGTCCTTAAAATTCGAACAGAAAGCAATATCAGGATAAAGGAGAGGCTGACTATTTTAATATTTCACTTTACTTGGATCCACAATCAAATATCATGAAATTGTATTCAAGAACTCAAACATGTTTGTGTTTGACAAATCTGCCTTGAAATCCTTCAAAAGTGTTACAAATCAGACATGTCACTTTGAACGCTAAGTTCTGTCTCACTCAAGGCATATTTTCAATCCATTTATCTTCACTTGAAAGTTGGACAGTGAATACAGTAGATTGCAGAAAAATTGAGTTATGGCATTAGATGTTACGAATTTCCCAAAGACAGCATACATCTGTCTTGGAAGAAGTTCAGTCAGAATTAGCTTTAGAGATGGGGATGGCCAGGCTTTGTCTCATGTACTTTGGGCATGTGATCAGTAAGGACCAACCATTGGAGAAGGACATCATGCTTCAGAGATGGGCAGAAAAGAAGATAAAGACCCTTCACAAGATGGATTGACACGATGGCTGCAAGTATGGGCTCAAACTTTGTTCTCACAGCAATGTGAGAACGGTGCAGACCTGGGTGGTGTTTTATTGTACAGAGGGTCAGTATGAATCAAAGCCAATTGCACAGCACTTCAACAACAACAAAACTATGTACAGTGTGTTCACAATAGTAAAAGCACTGCAATGTGGTGTCTTGTTTTATTGTTTTACAACATTCATCAACAGTTCTGGAGATGAAATTCCTGCCTTGAACACTTTTATGCCACTAGAATACCAAAATATTATAAGGTTTAAATGATATAGTATAGTCACATATGCATAGGCAGATGGGCCATAATCATTATAAATCTTATAATTATGATCATAATTTTTTTCAAATAGGAATTAGTTGTGTTCGACTCAATAATTAGGCTTAAGAAATATGTGTATTTCAATGTATACTTATATACTATGAATACTTTGATGGTTACTTTGCTAAAAATTATGGTTCAGACTAATTTAATTCATGAGTATAGTACTACATCTAATTGAAAATGTCATTTAATGTTAACATTACCACTCTAAGTAAAATAGAGCAAACTTGGGGATTGAACCTTGCCAGAAATAACATTTGCTGAAGAATTAAGGATCCCAGTGTGTTGTGTGTGCTATATGCTAAATCAGGTTTAATTGAGTTCATTAGTTTGAATTTAACTCTTATCTCCTATGTTTTCGCTGCCTCTGATATTTTTTAATCTCACTTGTGTTGATATTTCTTATAACAGGAAGTTACGTTCAAACTAGACACACACAATTTGGAGTCTGGCAGACTGAAATGTCCTTTTGATCCCCAGCAACCTTTTGCTTCAGTAATGACAGGTAAGAGCAACGCTGCTAGGCAGTTCTTAACTGCAAGTGGTTTTCTGAGAAAGTGTGAGTAAATTAAACCACACTTTTTAATTGAGTTAAGGTCATTTAGGATTTTCATTCTATTGGATATTTATTTCCAGATATTTTTGTATCTGGCATTCTTATCAGTGAAATATGACCCTAACAATCATGATGTCTGTGCAGTGTCTTATTAGATGGATTTTCTTATAGTAAATGATCACATTCTTATTTATTCATAGATTAGATGTTTCAGATTTTTAAAAGGTAGCACAACTTGCCTCAGTATAGAAGTTAAATTCAGAAATTCCTCTTGCAAAATCGGTTATAAAATATGCTTAAATTGTGAACAAAACAATTAAATTTAAGACAAAAGGTAAGAATCAAAATGAATTGAAATATAGAATACTGATAATAGAGTGCTTATGACACTTTTCTCCCACTATTATTATTTCCTACTTAGATCACTTAAAATTGTATGAAATTAGTTGCTATCTTATTCATTCTTCTCTCAGTATGTATACTTTTAAGTTATTTTCTTATGAGACCATTCTCTAGTTCAAATTAGGTAAAAACTGTGTGACGTGAAGTCTTTTCTAAGGAATGTAGGCTTGACCTCTGAATTTCAACGATTATAAGAACTCTTTTTGTCTTTATGGTATTCATGTCTTTGTATTCAACTCTCCAAAGCCCTCTTTAAAGGAGGCTTTTTAAAATGTCACTCTGAGGACTAAGGTGTACCTGACGCAATGCGTAGTCTTTGCAATCATACCTGTGTAGGGCATCTGCGAGGTAATAAGACACCTCCGAAGAATCAATGCCCTTGCATAATGGTGCTGGTAAAGAATGTTGACTGTCCCCCGGACTGCCAGAAGAAGGAACACATCTGTCTTGGAAAAAGCACAAGCAACATGCTCCTTGGGAAGGAAGATGACGGGACTTCATCTACCCTACTTTGCGCATCACTAAGAAGGAGCAGCCCTGGGAGAGAAACATCATGCTTGGTAAAGCGGAGCACCGGAAAACAACCACCACCACAACAAAGCCGAGGGAGGCCTTCCATGAAATGGATGCTATTGAGTCTGTCTCATCGTGACCCTTTAGGGCAGAGTCGTGGGCAGCGCCGTACTGACCCTGTGGGTTTCCCTGGGTGTAAATATTTATGAGAGTAGAAAGCCTCATCTTTCTCTTGGTTTGGGCTGTGTTCCATATATGGTACGCAGGGGAATTATGAGCCAGGAGCCACTAGAGAGCAACTAACAACAAATAAAATTAGCATTGAATGTCAGATCGATGATCTGAGCAAAGCGGCATGACATTTTAATTTTCAGGTAGCTGGACCTGATGTAATGACCTTGCTTTGAAGTGAAAGTATGTGTTTTCCCAATTTTTGAAACTTATATGACTAATGTTCAGTCATTTTTCTAAGAAAATAAGATTATTTTCTATTTTGACCTGTTAATGTTTGAAACACTCCTAATAAAACAAACAATATTTTGTAGGCAATGATGACCCCTGCTAGCAATCTCTTAAGTAATTTCAAATACAAAGAAGAAAGTGTGACTTAATAGAGATCAAGTTATTAGAATGAAATGTACTAATTTGTCCTGACAAGACATTCAAGTATCAGCAATTGCATATAATTCAAAATGATGATTTGCTTCATATATTCTTACCAAACCACATCACCACACATTTCTTGTTTTCAGTTTGTTCTTTTGTGTTTTTAAAATTAATACTATAATTACCTATTGCCATTTATCTAAAATATTTTAGCAGAAGGTCTTAAAAGCGTGGGAGTAGTGCTATTCATTTGTATATCTTCATCTCATACACATGGGTAGGTTGGTCTCTCCACCGCCCCCCTTTCATTTTTAATTGTTGTCATTTGTTACATTTGGTTATCTATAGTAGTATAGTATATATTTAGATTTCTATAATCAGACTTTAGAAAGTATCATAAGCACTTCTTATGCAATTTTAGAATTGAAAAGACAAGTTTCTAAGGAAAATTGAGATTCAGTAATAAAGCAATATCTTTGTTTTATATTTACAATTTAAAAATGTAAATACTCTTTGGAATGTAGTCTTTCTGCTGCTCCTAAATGTAATAAAGAGGACTTGAACCAAACTGATGAAGGTAAAAATCTATAGGCTTCCGCATAGACTACAACTCCGGGTAAAGGAAGCAAAAATCCTCGCAACTGCACCAGCAGACAACATCACGACCAATGTAGAAGACAGGGATTTGTCAAGGGTTTCTCTTGACTTGGCTCCACAATCAACCCTCATGGAAGCAGCCAGGAAATAAAATGGTGCATTGTGTTAGACAAATATGCATCATACCTATTTAAAGTATTGAATAGCAAAGATATCACTTTGATGACCAGCAGCATCTGACCTAAGCCATATTTCGAATCACCGCATATGCAAATCATAGCTGGACAATGAATAAGAAAGGCTTTAAGAAATAGATGCATTTGGTTATGGTGCTGAGGAGGACTACTGAAATTGCCATTCACTGCAAAGAGAACAAGCACATCTCTCTTGAAGGAAAACCCCCCAGATTGCTCTTTAGTCACAAGGATGGCGAGCTTTTTTTCAGGTACTTTGGACATTCTCAGCAGAGACCAGTCCCTGGAGAAGCAGAGCTTCCTGGTGGAGTCCGTGTAAAGGAGGAAGACCCTCCGTGAGAATGACTGACCCAGTGGCTACGACAGGCTCAAGCAGCACAGGAGCAGGAGGGGTTTTGTTCTCTTGTCCATAGTGTTTTTATGAGAAGGAGCCAACGCAAGGCACCCCAACAAGTGCAGCCAAACTAGTGGACTATAAGCTTTCTTGATTTAATCAGAGGTTGAACTCTCAAAGGGGTAACCTATCTCCTCTGAGTTCAGCATTCTCCTGCCATGTCCCATCTGCCTTTGACCCCCTCCCTCCTCTGCCTCCCTCCACTCTTTCTTTTCCTTTTCTTCTCTGCCTCCTTGCTTTCTTCTTCCTCCAACCATCTTCACCCCTTTCTTCCTCTCCTTCCCCTTCTTTTGCTTCCTCTTCTCTTCTCCCTTCCCTCACCCCCTCAAAATCACAGACATGAACTTTACATAAATAATAAGACAAAGAAGCTTGGTATGCAGTAATGGCAACGTTTTCCTTTTTTTTCAGAAACTCCTGTTTATCAAAAGAGACATGCTTAGCTACAAGGAATGCAATATGTTGTAATTATAAAGAATGACTTCAGTGCTGAAAGATTGCTTTCAACAACGGTTAGGCAAAGAAAAGTTGTGGTCATGGAGGTTGTATCGGTTAAGTAAATACTAATTACACAACCTACTCCCTATTATGGCATTTGCTGTTTAATATGTTTTCCCTGTTCCTACAAAGAGGAACTTCTGATGATGTGTAAGGAAGAGAACAATCAGTCTGAAGTAAAGTTCATGTGCATGCATCGATGAATTCAGAGGACTTTGACCTTTTTTATATTCAAGCGTCTATCATTAGTTTACCAAAATTAATTGAATTAGATTTATTCAAATAGCACATCTTTCTAATCGGAGTGTGATATTTTTGAAATAACAGATTCTGATATTAAGCCATAAACACCATTGGTTTAATGCTCTGAAATTAGCATGTTATAAGTCGCATGATGCACCCCTGTGCTCTTTGAAGTCCTATGTAGTTCTCTTCTCCCCAGGTGAGTACCTCTACTCTGGAACCGCGTCTGATTTCCTGGGCAAAGACACCGCCTTCACGCGGTCCCTGGGGCCGACTCACGACCACCATTACATCAGAACTGACATCTCGGAGCACTACTGGCTCAACGGTGAGTGAATTTCTCACTTTGGATAGATTAAAAAACAAAAACAGCCTGCATTATTATTCACTCAGTTGATTCGGGAGAATTGAGGTGGCGCAGCAGACGGAATGGAAGTATGCTCTGGGGAAGAACATCACAGGCTGGCCATGTCCACCAGCAGGACACAGGGTTCCGCTTGGAGGGAGGATAGCCAGAGTGCTGCGGAGAAGCAAGGAGGGAGGGATTTTGTCTCACGTGATTTAGACAGGTTATCTAGGGACCGTCCCTGGTAAAGGACATCCTGATTCTCAAGAAGAAGGGCAGAGGGAGACCCTCGATGGGATGCATTGGCACAGTGACTGCAACCACGTGCTCAATCGTCCCAACAGTCGAGAGGGTGGTGCTGCATCCCCAAGGGTCAGTTCTGTGGCAGCTGGGGTCCCTGGAGGTCAGACCCCAGCGGGACAGACACATCTCTAGAGATGTGTGAGTGCACAGCAATGATGGAGTGTTGTCATTTGACATCTAGTCAGTTCTAACTCATGACAGCACCATATAAAACAGAATGTCAACTTGCCCGGTCCTATGCCATTTTTGAAAGCATTGCTACGTTTAATTCCATCGTGCGACTATTGTGTCCATACATCTCCCTGGGAGTTTCTGTCATTTTCCCTGACCTAATTTACCAAACAGGATGTCCTTACCTAGACCATGTTTTGGGGTTTTTGTGACGTCCGTCCAAAGCAAATGAGCCAAGATCTTGTCATGTTTGTTTCTAAGGAACATTCTGACTGTATTTGTTCCAAACCTAATTTATTTGTTCTCTCGCAGTCAATAACATATTCCATATTCTTCACCAATACCAAAGCCATAACACACCAGTTCACCTGTTTTTTGTTTTTGTTGCCCAGCTTTGGCACTTATGTGAGATGATTAAAAGGGCCAAGACCTCGGGCAGGCACACTTTGGTCATAGATTGACAGTTATTTACTGAGCGTGTCCTCTGTCCTAAGTTCTATGGGATATGCTGCTATTATATTCCTTTCAAGAGGTAGTAAACTGTATGGAAAGGTTACGTAACTTAATCCAGATACAGAGCTTTTGAATTCAAGACAGTAGTCCTGTGTTTGCAACCACCGAGCAATGCTGTTTATTAACCCAAATGAAAGAGAGTTTATTATAATGCTAAATTCCATTATTTAGGGATTATGTGTTTGTCTTAAAACATGTCCATCCATATTTTTAAGCATTATTGTTATAACGACATTAGTTTATATAATCACGTATTGTTTATAAGTTATAAAATGCTTTGGGTTTTCAAAGAATTTTCAAAAACTCCAGTGAGTAGCTTTAATGAATTCAGGGAACAATAGAAGACTTCTCTTTTGTCTCACAGTTTTAGAGAGGGTCATATTTTATGATGAGTTCCTAATGCTCTCTAATTAATAGATGACGGCTACACTAAATGGAAACCCATGTAACACTGCTCTTTAAGGCTGCCAGGGTTTCCCATTCCTGTCACTGGACTTTGGACGAGGGAAACATGACAATGTCTAGGGGCATTTCTTTCAAATGGCTATTTAAGCCATGACAATATAAACTTCAGAGAAAAAATGCCTCAAAAATGTTACTTTACAATACTTGCAAAACCAACTTATTTATACAATATGATGTCCTTTGAGCAAAATGTACCTTTTTCAAAGCAAAAACAAATTCGGAAGAATATCTCCAATTATGTGATTACACACACACACACACACACACACACCTTTTTGTGCATTGTAAGGTCTTTGAGAAATGACTTGATTTACAAATACACCAGTTTTCCCCTATCACAAAGCTCGGTTCAAAGATTTCCCTGTGGCTTTAAAATAAAGCATATAATTACATTCCTGCAATTGATTAACAAACAAACTGATGAATAAACATCATATTACCCCTCTTTTAAGAGCTTATTTATTTTGTTTTACACTGGCATGCCCATAAAGAACTCTGCAGCATTGTCAAAACAATAAGCACATGGACTACTATGTGCCTAGAGCACCATTGTTCGTGCTACATGAAAAGAATGCTAATTCCCCAAAAATATGTGTTGTAAAGTTAACATTTTTATGCTGTGGCTGTAATCCCATTTGGCAACAGAACTTTCTTGGTTGTGTTCATGAGACCATTACCCTTATAGAATGTGTTTTAAATGATTCTGTGGTTTAAAGTGCTTGGCAGCTGGATAAACAACCTGGAGGAGAAAACAATGGGACTGATGAGTCCAGGGGGACAAGGGAGAAGGGGAGATGGGGAAAGCAAGTGGTGTTAACCAACCTAGGGACAAGGGAACAACAAGTGATCCAAAATCAGTGGCAAGGAGGGTGTAAGAGGCCTGTTAGGGATTGATCAAGGGCAATGTAACCAAGAGGAATTACTGAAACCCAAATGAAGGTTGACCATGATAATGGGACAAGAGGAAAGTAAAAGGAAATAGAGAAAAGAACTAGGAGGCAAAGGGTATTTATACAGGCCTAAATACAGGCATGTATATATATATTTATATATGATGATGGGGAAATAGATCTATGTGCATATATTTATAGGTTTAGTATTGAGGTAGAAGATGGACATTGGGCTTCCACTAAAGTACTCCCTCAATTCAAGAACACTTTGTTCTAGTAAACTGGCATTCCATGATGCT